TGGTTTGACAATCATGGACAATAAAGAAAAAGGTTTGTCTCAGTGTCCTAACTACAGCTGTAGAATGATGGAGTCCGTGGTTTTTCAACAACAACAAAATAACCTGCCTCCTAGCAGAAAATTGGGGTTCTCTTCAGAGACTGGGAAAAAATGTCCATCAGTATTATTAAACTGTTTTTTTATTGTGAAATGTATAGGAATACATGGATAAGGCATAAACTTATAAATTAACAAATGATTATTAAGAGCCATCCATAAAACCACCACCTAGAGCAAGAAAGAGAATGTGGCTGGGATCCCAGAAATGCCCCGTGACTCTTCCCAGGCCTGTCCACCCCACTCCTGGGAGCCGTTCTCCAGCTGGTACGGAAATCAGATCCTTAGCTTTATTGACAGTGGTGCACCTCAGAGCACACCCCTGAACACTGTTGTGTAGCTTTGGCAGTTTCTGAGCTTTATACAGATGGAATCATACAGCACGTATGTCGGCCTTCTGTTGCCCAACTTTACTTCTGTGAGATCCATCCACATGGTTGCATGAGGCAGTAGTTCATTGCTCCTCGTGGCCTCCGTGTTCCATTGTATAAAACACTACATATGTGTCCACCCTTCTGTGGACGGCCTCTGGCGTCTTCTTGTTTCAGCCTGTCGCATGTGCGGCTGAAATGAACCTTCTTGTAGACGCTGTGTGCACACATTTCTCTCGGATATGTATCAAAGAGTGGAATTGTTGGGTTAAAGAGAATGTAGCTTCAATTGATATCCTGTACAGTTATTGATTAGGATTTTGTATTTATAGGTCAATTTGGGAAGGATTAGCATGTTTGCAATATCAAGTCCTCCAATCCAGAAACATGGTATAATATATCTCTACATTTATTTAGGTTTTAATTTAATTTTTCCTAATACTGTTTTGTAGTTTCCACCATTAGGCATATGTAATGTATGCTATAGCTGGGGGGTTTCTGTTTGTTTGTTTTCTTTAATCAAGTTAAAGAAGTTCTTTTCCATTCCTAATTTGCTAAGTGTGTTTCTCATGCATAGAAATTAAATTTTGTAAAATGCCTTTTTTTCTTCATCTACTTAGGTAATCAGTATCTTTTTCTCCTCTATTCTGTTAACTTGGCAAATTGCATTGATTCGGGTAATACTATTAAGTGCATACAAATTTAGAACTTTTTCATCTTTCTGGTGAATTAAACCTTTTAGCATTAGGAAGTGACCCCCTTTGTGTGTAGTAATGCTTTTTTTTTATCTGCTATTCATGTAGCAAAAAGTGATCCTATATTTACTAGATGCTGGCTATTCATTCATTCATTCATTCATTCTTTTGAAAATACCTGAGTAGCATCAAGGTTCTAGGCACTGGAGCCTGAATGCCAGGGCCCTCCATGTAAATCTTGCAACTTGACTTCTCTTTTACATTTATAGAATAAGCTGCAGTTTCCTCATCTGTAAATTTCTTTCATCAGTGTGAGAAATTTCATTAACTCTTCAGATATTATTCTGTCCATACTCTCCCTTCTCTCCTTTAGGGACTCCAGGTAAACATGTTAGACCTTCTCATTGTATCCTCTATGCCATTATCTTCTCCTTCATATTTTCCATCCTTTAGTCTTTCCTTGCTTTTTTATGGTAATTTCTTCCGATCTGTCTTCCAGTATACTAATTCTCTCTTCAGCTAAACTACAATTAAACCTGTACACTGAGTTCTTAATATTGGGCAATGTTTTTCAATTCTAGAACTACTAGTTGGTTCTTTTTAAACTAAAGAGTATTACTTTTTATAATTTCCAGCTCCTTGCTTGAAGGTTTAAGAGTACCTTTTAACTTCGTGAGCATAGTAAGGATCAATGCTTTAAAGTCCACATCTTGTAATTATACTCTGTCTTATAATTACTCTCTTGAGTACCTGTGGATTTGTTTTTGATGTCTATTGTTTGCATAGGTCTTTGGTCATGTTGTCTTGTCTCTTCACGTGTCTGTGTATATTTTGTGTACTATATTTCAAATTTGCACATTCGTTTGTAGAAATATTTTCACATACGCAATGATGTTCTCTTCTTCCAAAGAGGATTTTTTTCCTTTGCTTTTGCCAGATGACAGGTCCTCTAGCAAGCCAAGGTTTCATCTTAATTTAAGGTCAGGGCTTGAAATACCCTGGGCAATCTAAACAGTATAACCTGACTGCAGGTCACGGTCTGTATAACAAGTCTGGGCTGGTTCCATTTCCTTTCAGTCCTGTTTCTCCAATGCAGCTTTTTGGGTCCCAACCCTAAGCATGGAAGGGTTTACCACACTGAACCATGAACTCTGACTTCGTCCCTCTGATAGCTTCAGGCCATCGAAAGTCCTGCCCAGCTGTTCAGCCTCCTCCTCTGAGTTCACCCATTTGCCCGGTGAAAGCAGCCCCCAGGCGGGGCGCCCCTTGAGATGTGTCTTCTCCCAGACCGTGGCCCTGTGCTCTTCACCCTCTTGCAGTCTTTTCAACTTTTATGAAGATTAAATAATCATTTTGTTCAGCTCTTTTTTTCATTCATCCTCAGTGGGAGGACTTGTCCAAATTATCTATTCAGCCCCATCACAAGTAGAATCTCTAAGTCTTTTAAAAGAATGCAGATCCCTTATGGCCTAGCCATGGTTACTTTGTTCTGACCAGAGTCAGGCTTGGCTTTGTAGAGTGTGACATTCTTTGGGTTTACTTAACACTGATTGGAATTCAATTTAACTTATATTCATTGAGCACACCACGGATGACCTAGGTACATAGACCATACCAGAATATGTTTATTTTTCTTTCAAAAAACCAATTATCCACGCAGCATACTAGTTAAGATCCCAAGAGTCCAACAGCCAGGACTTACCGTCTACAAACTATGTCCTAGTTACTTACCTTTTCTGTGCCTCAGCTTCCTCACCTGTAAAATGACGGCAATTATAATACAACATCTTGATTGGACTGTTGTAAGGATTGAGTGATATTATACGAGAACGGTGTTTATCACGCTCTGGCAGTGGCAAGAATTAATAATTATTACCCATTACAGTTACTGTCCCTGCCATTTGCCAGGCCCCCTGCTAGGCCCTGCCGAGTCTAGTCCGTGAGAAAGACAGTCACACAACCAGTGACTACATCAGTGGTGAGCGCTGCCGGGGTAGTAGCAAAGGAGGGGCACCTCTGGCGGGGTCCCCAAGACACCAAGATCGTGATTGACTAGGACGGCTCAGGGTGCTCCGTGTACAGGTGTGGCCATGACTCAGGTTTATTACAGTGAAAGGATTCTGAGCAAAAGCGGCAAAGGGAAAAGGCATGTTGGCAAAATCTGGAGGAAACCAGGCACAAGCTTCCAGAGTCCTTGCCCCATGGAGTCACACAGAATGTACCTAAGGCCCCCAGCAATGAGTTGTGACAGCGTGTGTGAAACGTCCGCCAGGAAAGCCGGCCTGAGCTCAGGAGCGCAGGGTTTTGCTGGGGTCGGTCACGTGCCCAGCACATGCTGAGATCCCAGAACTCGAGAAGGAAAGCAGGGGCTCAGCTGCACAGCACTGCACCCAACCTAACCCCATGGTCAGGGGCCTTGCCAGAGAGGGGGCCTCGACTGAGTCCGAGAACACGTGTGGAGAGTTCCGAGACACAGTGGGGGAAGCCGCGTTCTGGTCACGTTGGCACCCGAAGCCGGGAGGAGAGCAGTCGGGTGCTGGGCTGGGGGGATGTGAGAGGCAGGTGCAGTCCCAAGTATAGTATGGCCTCCAAGCTCAGGGCGCTGCGGTCCGGGGGGATGACACACGAATTGTGGTTTGGATGCCCTGGCGGGCTAACCAAAGAGCCCAGGGTCGGAAATGCCCAGGTTAGTCGGGGCAGCCCAGGGAAGGCTTCTGAGAAGGGATTGTGTGTGGGTGGGTGGAGGGAGGGCTGCAGCATGAGGAGGAGTCCATTCCTCCCACCCTGCAAAGTGACTAGAAATGGGGCAAAGGCTTGAAAGAGCATCTTCATAATAAAACATGCGATGAGATGCCCTGTGTATGTTAATGAACACACACGCCAAAAGCCATGTTCATGAGCATCACGCACAGTGAAAGTGTAGGAAGGTAAACTGCAGCGAGACACCATGTTCACGGGGACGGGCAGAGGGGAAGAACCGCCGGGCACGTGAAGGAGTCCAGCTTAACCCGCAAGGTTTGGTGTTTTGAATGCAAAAAAAAAATATCCAAGTCATGGATCCACAGATGTGTAATATTATCATCTATCTATGGTGTGGGATTTTTTTCATAGTTTAAAGAAATAATTTTTAGAAAAAGACTAGGGTTGGGGAGGTGAGATGAAGGTCACAGGACGCTGAGATGGGAGGCAGGACAGCAGGGGCCACACTTGGAGCTGCCTGGAATCCCTGCCAGGTGACCTTCCCTGGGAGGGGTTCCGGGGTCATCCAGGTTACCTGAGCAGGCGGGGGAGGGCTCACGGTAAGATCTGAGGTTTACACCAATAACTCGCCCAAGTGTGCAGGGTGGACAGGGAGACGGTTGTGAAAATGGCCCAGATGGTGACCGGGGGAGGCCCAGTTGGTGACATAGAGGGGATGTCAGCGATTAGAGCTCACTGGGGCCAGTGGGACCACGGGGCAGGGCATGTCTGGAGCTTGCCTGGGTGAGGTGAGAGGCAGCAGGTGTGTCCTGAGACTCTGAGTGTGTGTAGGGGTGTGTGTGTATGTGTGCAAGTGTGTATGAGTTTGTGTGTTCATGCGTGCATATGTGCCTGTGTCTGTGCATTCGTAAGTGTATGTGTGTGCATGTCTGGTGTATGTACAAGTCTATGTGTACACATGTGCGTGTGTGTGTGAGAGACTGTGTCTGTGTGTGCATGCACACATGTGATCTGAGAGCTCCCATCCCTGGATCTCCTCTGTGTCTTGGGGGAGGTGGGGGGGAGGGGCAGAGGGAGGCCCAGGCCCTCTGCGGGGTCCTGCCATCACCCATGACCCCAGTGTGGTTCTCGGCTTCAGGAACTATACTGCAGCACCATAGACACTTTCCAGAAGTTTGCGGACGTCCTGTTCCTTGAAAGGCTCCCGGGCGTGACTGGCCTCCCCCGGGGGGCGTGTGACTACTTGAGACAGGAGGTGCGGGAGGACGCCGCCCGGCAGCTGGGGGAGTCGGAGCGTTTCCGGAGGCAGCAGTGGCAACTCTTCCAGGAGCTCCTGCAGCAGGAACAGCAGGTGCGTGCATGTCGCAACCAGGGGACTTGGGAAGAATGATGAGACGTCACGCTTGGTGAGCGCCCCTGGTGCCTACTGCAGACGCTCTAGAGAGATTACCGCCACAGCAGCCCACCGGGGTGGGATAGGGAGCAGGACCGTCTCTCCCATGGTAGGAAGTCAGGAGATGATGCTTTGTGTTGATCAATCAAGAAAGAGCAGCAAAGCGTGGTTTTAGAACAAGAGAAATAAATAGCAAACAAATGGCAGCAGAAAGGAAGGTCGTTGGGGGGGGGTGTTTTTAGTGAAAGTCATTTGCTTATTAGGGCCATGGATCTATGCTGTGGACAAAATCGTGGTCCCTCACAGATGTCCACCGTCTGATCCCCAGACCCTGGGCACATGTCCCTGCACATGGCAAAAGGCCCTTTGCAGATGGGATTAAGTTAAGGATGTCGAGACTGGAGAAGATGCTGGGTTATCCAGGTGAGCCCGGTGTAGTCACAGGGTTCTTATGAAAGGGGGCGGGAGGCTCCGAGGTGGAGAGGGGATGCTATCAGTAGAGCGGTGTGGCCAGGAGCTGGAAGAGGCAAGGAAAGATTTCACCTGGAGCACCGCCCAGCTGACACCTTGACTTTAACCCATTGAGACCCATTTCAGACTTCTGACCTCCAGAACTCTAAGAAGATAAATTTAAGCCATAGTTTGTGACAGTGTGTTACAGTAGGAATGGGAAACTACTACAGTACTCATTGATTTTATTTTTAAAAAATTTAAAACCACGAAATAAAAGAAGGGACTTCCAAATTCTGCATCCACCAACACTGCCCACGTTTCCTTTCTCCCTCGCCTCTGCCCTCGAGAGGCTGTAAAACTAACGTGCTCAGTAGCCCGGCATCCTTTGCAATAGCAGCCGCTGACTGACACAGCTCTGGCCTATGAGACAGGGCGTGGCACCTACAAGGGTTTCCTAATGCAAATGCCAGGTCTTGCTTGGAGCAACCCTGTTCTTCCTGCCTTTCTCTGCCCGACAGACAGCCTGTGTGAGGACAGAGCCTGGCGTGCTCAGACAGTGGAACAAAGTCCTGGACGGCCTGAGTCCCTGGTGGTGGCGCTGGGCCACTGTTCCAGCCCCAGACTGCCCAGCCCTAGGTGCTTCTTGTCAGAAACAACCCCTGTTTCTTTATGTGGGGTTTTCAGTTAGTTACAGAAGACCCCTCTGACTGATGCATCTAAAAGAGGTTTTCTAAAGCAATTTGTTGGAGCTGTAGAAAGTATGAAGTAAATAGAGGAGAGTGTCATGCAAACACATGGCCACTGCCCTGTCACAGGTAACTGGACTCTCCTGCATTTGGCTTGAGTTCCTTGAGGGCGGCACCCTGATTTCATATTGACACCCCCTATTCAGAGCCCAGCGGCTGCAATGCAGTAAGGGCTCAGGAAGATTTTGTTGCATTCCTGGCAACAATAATGCAGCTTTGGAGATTATTGCAGGGTCACCTTCACCCTGTATTCTTCCAAAGGATCTAAATGAAGCTGAATTCATCCAATTTGCACCAAATCGTGGGCCCCAGACCAATTAATTTGCAGTCTCTCGGGAGGCAGGAGGACCCTCAGTGGCTTAGAAAGCTCACCAGGTGGGCCTAATGTGCCTCTGATGTGGACTCACCAAGCGAGGGGGGCCACCTTCTGGAGACCACCGTGGTTTTGCAACCGGGTCCCTAACCTGGGGAGCTCCAGGCATGGGTTTGAGCCAGAGCAGACACATTAATGGGCTGTGTGGCTTGAGCCGATTAACTGAGATCCTGCAACTCTGTGATTTTGCACAATGTGCTAAGCGTCCCAGAACCCCAGCTTCTTTGTGAAAACAAGAAATCAAAATACCCGACAAGCTGCCGTGAGGTAGTGCAAGGTAAGACCTTTTGCGCGGTGTCCATTGAATCATTCAACAGTATAGACAGTGAAAAATCCAAAATTTCATTTCCGATAAAACACCTGTGGTTCATCTAAAACTCTCTGATTATGAATCTTAAGTTATTAATATTTTAGGTAAATATGAGACTATGCATGGCTCTGTTTTTTATTTTTTTATTTATTTACTGTGGGAGCATATGATTGTGAATTTTCTTTGGCGTGTGGGGAATGTTTTCAAAATGAGTTTTGCATTCAAGAAGCAAGCAGAAGAGCTAATGACCTCATCAACTGATTAAATAAGTGTGACCCAAGACTGTTTCTCAAAGCTTATATGTCATAATTAACTTACTGATTGCTTAATTGCCTTAAATTACCACGAGATATTTAGAGATCCTCGTTCTCTGCCTCTTGCCGTCTTTCCTCATCAATGACAAAAATGAGAAATGAACTTTCTAGCTTTGGATGAATGTTAGTCCTGAAAAGCACCAGCACACCCAGACCGAGAATCGCCTTTCCCACGTTGTTTTCTGTCAAAAAGGCCTTGGTGGTTTCGCAACGTGTTGCTCAGGAAAGTTGTTAAAAATTATGGAGTTTGTGGATTACACAATGAAGACAGGTTTCCATTTCTCAAAATTTAATCCCACTTTAATGCAGGTGTCTGGGCTTCTCCCAGTCCACTTGTGGTAGGCGACATAACGGCCCCAAAGAGGTCCACACCATAATCCCTGAAACCTGTGAATGTGGCGGGTTACAAGGCCAAAAGGACTTTGCAGAGTCATTTCGGATCTTGAGATGGGGACATGCTTATCTGGCTGGGCCCAATGTCATCACAAGGGTCCTTATAGGTGGAAAAGGATTCATGAGAGTGCCAGTGTCAGAGCGATGCCGTGGCAGAAAGACCCAGCCAGCCACTGCTGGATGGGAAGACGGAGGCAGGGGCCGTGAGCCGGGGAAACGGTGGGGAAACATCCTACCCCAGCCCCTCAAGGAGGAATACAGGGCTGCCGACACCGTCGCTTGAGCCCCACAACACCCATTTTGGGCTTCTGGTCTCCTGACGTGTAACATAATAAATTCTTGTTGTTTTAGGCCACTAAGCTTGTGGCAATTTGTTACAGCAGCCACAGGAAGCTTACACAGCGCTACATAAGCCTGCATTTCTCGCTGGGAAGGTGCAGCGGGTTGCTCTCTGGCATGACGCGAGAACAGCCGTGCTGGAGGCGGTCCACCCAGGTTTATGTCCCAGCTCCCCTCTCCCCCTGCTCTTAACCCCACTCCAGGCAGGTGTCCGTCGCCTCATCACCAAATCTGCCTCCTGTGCACTGAGCGCTCAGGCCTCGTCTTGCTGGACTCGGCAGCGGCGGCATGTGGCCACACTGGGGTCCTCCGCCTTCCGAAATGCTCCTGACTCTCCTGCTTCTCCTCCCTGCACACAGGCAGCTCCTTCTCAGTCTGCGCTGCTGGTTCATGGTTCCTGGACACTGGAGAGCCCCTGGGGGTAGCCTGCAGTCCTGTCTTTCATCCACATGCGCTGTCTTGGGGGTCCCATTTAGTCACACGCCATCTGTGTTAGTTCTCTAATGCCGCATAACAAAGATCCCAGACTATTACAGCAGCTTAAAACGACACACGCACAAGGCTCTTGGCAGGATTCAGGTCCTCGAGGGTTGTTGGACTGAGAGCCAATGCCCCAAAATGTATCCCTCTGGCTCAGACTTGTTCACAAACTCAGCTCTACGTGCAGTCTCCGTTTGGGTGACTGAAAGACGTGCAAATTTAGTGTGTCCCACACAGCTGTCGCCCGGGCTGCTTCACCCACGGCCTCTTCCCACTTTCTGCCTCACGAAGCAAAAGGTTTGGGATCGTCTGCGCCACCGCTTTCTTTCACACGCTACAACGGTTGGCAGGAAATCCCACTGGTTCCAGCTTGTCTGATCCAGAAAGCGACTGCGTGTCGGCACTCCTCTCAGCACCTGCCGGAGCTCCCGTGCCTCTGGCTGAAGTCCTGCCACAGCGGCCAGTGGTGCCCTCTGTCCTCACCCCCATCCAGACTGGCATTTCTAAGATATGCTACATGCCAACAATACACATTTAAAAATATATTAACAGCCCTGAAATTGAGATGCATCTTAATTTAATTGGCAGTGACTTTTCTCTCTCATATTTTATTTTTTGAGACAGAATCTCACTCTCTTGCTTGGGCTAGAGTGCCGTGGCATCAGCCTAGCTCACAGCAACCTCAAACTCCTGTGCTCAAGTGATCCTTCTACCTCAGCCTCTCGAGTAGCTGGGACTACAGGTTCACACCACCACGCCGGCTAATTTTTTCTATTTTTAGTAGAGATGGGGTCACTCTTGCTCAGGCTAGTCTCGAACTCTTGACCTCAAGCAATCAGCCTGCCTTAGCCTCCCAGAGTGCCAGGATTACAGGCGTGAGCCACTGAGCCTGACCAACTTTTCTCCTTAGTGACACCTAAAATATTTGAGCATCTTACAATCATCGGCACAATAGATTTGATAAAGACACTAAGTCACATCAGGTAACTTCTCTGTTCAAAACCCCTATTGATTTCTCATTTCATGTAGGATAAGAGCCAGAGTCTGGGAGGCCAAGATGGGCAGATCAAAAAACCAGCCTGGGCAACATAGCAAGACCCTCTCTCTACAAACAGTAAAACATAGCCAGGCATGGTGATTAGTGCCTGTAGTCCCAGCTACTTGGGAGGTTGAGGCAGGAGCATCACTCGAGCCCAGGAGTTCGATCACACCACTGCACTCCAGCCTGGGTGGCACAGTGGGACCCCATCTTTAAAAAAAAAACAAAAACAAAGCCAGCATCCTCCTCTGCCCTGCAAGGCCCATCACGGCAGGACCCGGAAGCCCCGGACTCAGCCTGCCCATTCCCACCCTGGCTCGGCCTCCAGCCTCGCCGGCCCCCTGCGTCCCTCTGGCTGCCTGGGTACACTGCGGCCTCACTGTCCTGCTCCAGATCCTTGCTCCATGTCACTTTCACCACAAGGCCTACCCTGACCTTGCTTTTTATAGCTGCAATGCCTCCCTCATCCTCAGTGCCCTGGTGTTGCCTCAGGTGCTGACTGCAGAGCCCACCTGTTCCTGGAGGGCACTGCCAAACCTCAGCATGTACCAGGCCAGCGACCATCCGTGCCCTTCCCTTAGTCCTTGTACAATATGTGAATTTGAAACAAAGTGTGTACCTTATCCAGGGCTACAAAATGACCTGCAACCTCCTCAGTGGTAGAGCATTTGATTGCAAAATGACCTGCAACCAATGACCAGCGTGAGCACGTTGACCCTGGAAGCCACTTGCTGCTGCTGGATTTAAGCGTCTCTGGGCCTGTGCTGGACCGTGTTGAAGAGGCTCATGTGGCAGTGGCAGGGGCCATGTGCCCGATGACCTTGGCCTTCCTGATCCGCGTTGAATCCTGCTGCCAGTTTTATCTGCACTCCCAAAACACAGTGAAGACCCCCAAACCATTTAGTGACATTAATTCACCTTTGAAAGAATCAAGACTGTGTAGAATTTTCTAAAATGTTCTGGTTTCCCAAGCACTTTGATAGATTATGGAGTCAGAGGCTGACTTTACCCAAATGTGCCAGGTGACAGTGTGGTTTTGTGAGATTGCGTGTAGGTGTGACGCATCTCAATACCCGGGAGGGCTCAGTCCAGGCCGCGAGTCCTTCCCTCCCGGCCGCAGTTCTCTCGTAGTCTGCGTGCAGCAACGTCACCTCCAGGCGGATGGAGGCACAGCCTTTCCACGCAAGCGCAGGAAGAGGGAGGGCTCCCACCCTGGTGATGGGAGCGTCAGGAACATGGCGCAGCTGGGAGAGAGTTGAGCTTTGGAGACAGATGGACCTAGATTTCAGTCCCTGCTCCACTATTTATTGCTGTGCAGCCCTGGACCTAGTAGGATTTTCACAGATAAAGCCTTGCTGAAGATGAACTAACATCCAGAATCACAAAACACAGGGCACAGTCCACCGTAAGGGTTTGCACACACAGCCAGCGATGTTTAGACCACAGCAAGCTCCAAGGAATTCAGATGAAGGCATTATCAGCAAGTGCTTATAAAGTAAGTTTTTTCAAACAATTGAAAAAGAACAAATACCCCCCAAAACAAGACATTATGAAAAAAGACAAGACAGATGAAAAAACATATACTTTTATGAATGAAAATTCTAGGCATGAAAACAGCAATTTAATGGATGAGTTATATAGCAGATTGAATGTGGCTAAAAAAACTGTGTGAACTAGAATATAAATGTGAGAAACTGGTCCCAGAAGGCAGCTCAGTGATTGAAAGACATGGAAGATAGGAAAGAAGGTTAGAGACATGTAGAGTGAGAAGTCCTATAGAAATAGAATGTGTCTATAATTCTGCGGAAACAGAATACGTCATTTTCAAGACAGGAAGGGAGAACCGAGGGAGTAAGAGTGAAGGAAATAAATAATCCTGTGAGAGGGAGCGTTGATGACTCAAACAACAAAGACTTTAGAAGCAGGACGGAACCAAAGCCGCGGAGCAGCTCCCGCGCTGTGGGGAGATCTCTAGAATTACACCCCCTGCTGTTCTGGGGTCACAGAAGTGTCCGCGTTATTCCTACAAAGCAAGTGTGCGACTTGTAAAATGAAGAGCGACCATGGGGGGGAGAATGGAGCAGCCCCCATCCGGGAGCTGCCTGGTGCTCCCCGCCGGGCCTGGTGTCCTACTGAACAGCGCCGCAGAACGTCAACTTCAGACAAGGCCACTCCGTGACCGACCGTGGCAGAGGGAGACAAAAGCGAGACCACTGCGCAACCACGTCCGAACACAGACCAGACGTGAACGCTGCCCAAGCCCCCAGGTGACCAGACGCCCCGTCCTGGCTGAGACAGGCGAGGTGGCTTTAGCCCCCCCGAGACGCCCCTCCCTCCAGATAAGACTGACCGAGGTGCAGGGCAGGACCCGCCTTCCGTCAGCACCGCCCAGAGCCCGGTGGCTTCCCCCAGCCTCCCCAGGTCCTCTCCCACGGCCACACCCAACCATTGGGCCTCTAACCCCCTCATCCAGTCGCCGGTTCCCCAGGGTGCACGTCTGCCGCCTGCACAGCACAGGCGCGCCTGGTGATCCGTGGAGTGCACCGACAGAGTGGAGTGAGCAGAAGATGCCACTTCCAAGGCAGAGAAGAAAATACGCAATAAAGAACAATCACTCCAAGGAGCATGGGAAGCAGGGGCGACGCAGAGGAAAGCACAGTAACTAGAGAACACTGGATCGGCGTTTGGGGTAAGTCCAAGCACGCCGTCAGTCACAGCGAGCAGCAGCAAATTCACTTAGATTGCGGGAAAAGGATCTAAATATGTGGTATTACAAGAGACTCAGCTAAGTCATCGTGGCACCAAAGGTGAGAGAGCCAAGGAGAGGAAAGGGACGTACCCGGCAATACCGACCAGAAGAAACATCCACCGGGCAGAAAGCACCCTGCAGGGGTGGAGCGGGCCGTTCTGTGGTGCGAGGGCACGCTGCCTCAGAAGATACAACAATTCAGCCTCGAAATACATAAAGCAAAATTTGATGGAATTGAAAAGAAAAACGGACAAATCGAAATCATAATCCCATCTCACAGAAAATCAGATAAGCCAATCAGACTGTAAGTCAGGCCATGAAAACAAGGTCCGCGCCACACCGTGAGGTCGAGCGGACACTCCTCCGCAGAATTTTGTGGGTCGTGTGCGGGGAGCATGGGCGTCTCTGTTGAAAAGCCAAAGAACGGATCGACAGACACACCGTCACATTGAGATTGCCCTGCAAGGCCGCCACGTGCAAGATCAACATCCCAGCCAGTGGATTTCCTCCCAGCCAGCAACACCCTTGATGACACGAAGAACGTCTGCAGAATGAAAGCCATAGGGTGCCTGAAAGTAAGTCTGACCAACATGTAAAAGAGCTCAACGGAAAAGTTCAGAAAATGTTTTTGAATACACAAAACGCGGCGTTCTTGGGTAGGAAACTCAGTTTTGCAAAGATGGCAGTCCTCTCCAAATTAATCTATAAAATCAACCCAATGACAAGAAATTTTTTTAAAAGAAAATTTATTTCCTAAACTTGACCAACTAATCCTAAAAGTCACAAGAAAAGAAAAACACCCAAGCATAATCTTTCAGGTTTGAACAAGAGAATGAGGAAGGACTTGCCCTAGCAGCTATGATGTTTATTGCTATAACCCAGCAGTCAAAGCAGTGTGCAGAAGCAAACAGACCAACAGAACAAAATAGCCTGGAACTAGCTGTGTGAGTATATATTAATCACGTAAGACAAAGTGGCATTATAGGAAAGTCAGAAAAAAATAAATTATTTAATAAACACTGCAGGACAATTAGTTATCCATTGATCCAGAGAAAATTAGATCTCTTCCTCGCTTCCGCCTTGGAAAATAAATTTTAGATACTTTAAGACTTAAATGCAAACGTTAATAGGAAAAAATTTAAATTTTTAAAGAAAACATGGGAGAAAATCTTTATGACGTCAGGAGATAGGGGGATTTTTTAAACAAGAAACAAAAGGCACAGCCCAGCACAGCAAGGCTGATGAGATGAACTCCAGCTGAGTGACCACATGCATGCTCTGTGCTCTGTCCCGGGCTGTAGGTGTGGATGGAGGAGTGTGCTCTGTCTGCTGTGCTGCGGACACACCTGCAGGAAGACCACGAGAGCACCGTGCGCGGAGTCCTGGGCCGACTTGGCGGCCTCACTGAAGAGTGAGTACAGCTTTCTGAGGGACGGGGCTGGGAGTCCCCATGATTTTCCCTGCTCCTCAGTGCCCCATCTGTCGGGTGGACACACTGACTGCCCCTGCCTGCCTGCCTGTGAGTGTAAATGGCTTCACATTTCTCAGCCTCACTTTCCTCATCTGTAAAGTGGGGCTAAGGATACCTACTTCATAGGAGCTTTTTTGAACAGCTTTTTTGAGATATAATTTACATATATTTATTTTGAGTATAATTCAATGATTTTTAGTGGATTTACAGAGTTTTGCACCCATCACCACAATACAAATTTAGAACATTCCTATCGCCCCAGAAAGGCGATAGACCTTTTGCAGTCACTCCCCATTTACTGATCCATTTTTATATTCATTTTTACACTTTTGCTGTAACTATTAGTGCAATATGGTCTTCTCCATTTGCTGAAAAATATTTCTTTTTTCCTCATTTCATATGAGAAAAATTACCTCGATATAACCATAGTTGTTGAGGCTTTGCGAGGAGCCTGCTTTGGGTGTGCCGCCCGGCAGCCGGTGCACAGCTGCGGCACTGACTCTCACGGGGGCGGCATCGAGAGAGGACCATGAGTAGGGCCGGACCAGGGGACCTGATGAGCCGTGCTGAGGGCGGCAGGCAGCGGCTGGGGGATTTGTCTAGCCTGAAAACCTGTGTCTTTAAACTGTATTAGAGTTTATTTAGTCCATTTACGTTTAATGTAAGTCCTGATGCTGACGTATTTGGGTTTTCATACCAATTTATGAAGATTCTCATCCATTTTCTCTGCAAACCTTCCTCTGCCCTCTCTCCCTGCCTCTTCCCGGGCTGCGGTTCCTCGGTTCGTCAGCCTCCCCGTGCTGTGTGTCTCTGACCTGCTGGCCGCGTTCTTCATTCTGTTCTCTGCGGTCAGGCTGGGTCTTTGCTTCCGCGCCATCTTCATTCACTCTTCAGCTATGTTTTACAGGCTGCCAAACCCACCTACTGAGTTGTTAATGCCAGTTACTGTGTTTTCAGTTCTAGAATTTTCATTTGATTCTTATAGTTCCCAGTTATCTGCTTTATCTTATTTAATTTCTTGTGGGTATTAATCATAATTATTGTAAAGTTTATGTCTGATTATTCTATTATCTGATATCTTGCAGGTATGTTTCTATTGTCTCTCTTTCTGTTTATTTTTGGTAATTCTTATCTGTTTACATGTCTGGTTATTTTTATTGAATGATGAACCTGTGCATGAAAAATTGTAGAGATGATTTATGACTTCAGATGGTGTGATCTTCCTCCGGGGAGGGTTCGTCCTCCTTCTAACAGCAGTTGCGGGTCGTGGTAGATTAACTGCACCCATTTGGGGATTTAGCTGACACAGAACTAGGTCTTTGTGAGAGATGAGTCCTTATTCCAAGGGTAAAGGCCCCAGTGGGAAGCCGGGCGTGTTGGCCAGGCCTCTCTTGCTTGGTAGACGGGCGCCAGCCCTCTGGTCTGCCTTTCTGCCTCTCGGCGAATCCCTGAAGCTGTACAACGCTGGGCCTTAGGCAGATCACTTAGATAGGAACTCAAAAATAGCTCAAGATTTCCGTTTGAAATGTGTTGATTTGAGAGTTATGTAAGAAACTCAAGTGCCCATGTGGCAGAGGCAGCTGGGCTGGGTGGGACAGAGATTTAAAGTTAACAGGCCGGGCGCAGTGGCTCACGCCTGTAATCCTAGCACTCTGGGAGGCCGAGGCGGGCGGATCATTTGAGCTCAGGAATTCGAGACCAGCCTGAGCAAGAGCAAGACCTCATCTCTACTAAAAGTACAAAGAAATTATCTGGACAACTAAAAATATATATATAGAAAAAATGAGCCAGGCATGATGGCGCATGCCTGTAGTCCCAGCTACTCGGGAGGCTGAGGCAGGAGGATCGCTTGAGCCCAGGAGTTGGAGGTTGCTGTGAGTGAGGCTGACGCCATGGCACTCTAGCCCGGGCAACAGAGCCAGACTCTGTCTCAAAAAAAAAAGAAAGTTAACACAAGAGCAGGTGGCTGAGTAGCACCCAGGTGAGCACCCGTGTCTACGAGGACAGGCGGCAGATGGCGAGATGATTCCAGCCCACTTCCTTCCGGAGAGGCTCCCTGGGGGAGCAGGGAGCTATCTGGGGAGATTCTCAGGAGCTCAGTGAAGCCAAGAGCATTGACGCCCGCCCCCACCGCTTTCCTCCCAGGTCGGCACAGCGCATCCTGCAGGGCCACAACCTGCTGCTGCGCTCGGCCCTCCGGAGGCTGGATCTCCGCGGCAGCTCGCTCGCCAGCCTGGCGCAGATGAGGCTGTCGGGGAAGAAGCGCCTCCTCCACGAGCTGCGTGAGCAGCGCGCCCTGGAGCAGGCGTCCGCCCAGTGCCTGGACGAACACCAGTGGCAGCTGCTCAAAGCCCTGGTAAGGCCGGCGCGGCGGCTCCCCCTGCCCCAGACAGCAGTGCCCACCTGCCAGTCACATGACCTCCTTTACCTTAATGGCCTCTTTAAAGGTCCTGTCTCCACATATGGTCACATCCTGAGGTGCTGGGGTCAGGGCTTCTGGATATGGATTTTGAGGGAGAACAATTTAACCCATAACAGGCGGGGACACCGGCTGCCCACTGTAGGGGTACCCATGTGCCAGAAGGTTCTAGTGTAGGTGCTATTCAGTAACGAGAATCGCACTAGAAAATCCATGTGAAATCAGAGACGGGTGTGGTTGGCATCAGAGATGTGGGAGAAGAGGCCTCTCAATCTCTTCGAGGTCTTTAACACATTGAAAGAAAGAACTTGTAAATCGAGCTGGGATTTAAACCCCAGTTGGCTGACTCGGGGTCTCCTGCACGCAGCCACTGACCTGTGGGAGCAGCTGATGTCCTTCGACCCGCGAATCGGGCTCGAGCCCACAGTCTCCTTGGTTCTGCCCAGGAGGGCTCTGGGGGAGCACGAGGGCTCACGCACCTGGCGCCAACTCCCCTCACTTCTTTCTTTCACATTCCTACGAGGACAGCCAGTCCTCAGGCCCCTGTGTGCCCTGCCTCAGCTTCTAGGATGTCCTGAGAGACTCAGATCTGCCTTCAAAACCTGGCTCTGCTGTGCGATTTTTAGAAAGTTACTTAACTTCTCTGAGTCCTTGTGTTCTCATGTGTCCTAGTGTTCAGGTCTCATGATGTTCTAGAAGGGTGAGCAAGGCTCCGCATCTTATGAGGGACCACAGATGGTATTGGCACACAGTTGGTGCTCAATCATTGCCCTTTTAGAAGAGGGGGAATCTCAACAGACCCTAGCTCATCCACTGTGTGCTGGTTTTCACAAGCCCAGAGGCCACCTCTTTCCTCCCTTTCTCCAACCCTTTCCCAACCCTAGAGCCCTGGGCAGGACTAACCCCACACCCTGGTCCTGGCCGGAGCATCTCCGTACAGGGCAGCTTCATGGCCCCTCCCCGTGCCTTTCTCTCCAGGAGGCGCGTGTCCTGGAGGAGGCTGGCAGGCTGGAGGAGGAGGCGCAGCAGACACGGCTGCAGCTCCAGCAGCAGCTCCTGGCTGAGGCCCAGGAGGTCGGGCAGCGGCTGCAGCAACACACGGAGCATGCCATTGGTCAGGCACTGCTGGGGTATGCACGCAACGTGGCCACCAAGAGCCAGGCCAAGGACAGGGATGACTTCAAGGTACGTGCCAACCTTCCATGCCCTGGGACGCCCAGGACCAAGAATTGGGGTGGGATCTGAGAGCTGGGTCTGGTCTTGCAGCACCTGTCATGGACCTTCTGGCCTTGCAGAGTACACGAGTTCCCCAAGCCTTGCTCTCTTCTCCTCTGTAAGATGGGATCTTCTCCCCGTAGCATTCTACGGTGGGGAACCACAGCAACAGACTGCAGATTTCCCGCCTGCTGTTCAGCCCTGCGCTGCGTCGTTCTCGGCACTGGCTCAGCCCTTACAGCAGCCCTCAGGGGACGCGGTGTCACCCAGAGCCATGCAGCCGGGCAGTGGCAGAGCCAGTCCCTCCCCCAGGGAGAGACGTGTGCTTTCCTGACACATGGAGGCTTTTCAGAGTTCGTCCTGACAGCTGAGAAGCGCGGCTGAATCAGCCTGGCTTGAGTAGACAGTGGCTTACTCTGTACCTGACGACAGTGGCTAACAGCAGGCACAACACTGATAACAGGGAGAGGTGCTGTCAGACTGCACTCGAGGCCAAGTGCGTGTGCCTGCCTCGTGTCACGGCGTTCTCCCCACAGCCCTCGCACCCCTCTGCCGCTGCGTGTGGGCACGTGCACTGTCTGCATGCAGCCGCCCCTCGCGAGTCGCGTTGCAGATGGCTGGGGTGGGGGTGTCTGTGGCTGGGAGACACCAGCGGTGTCACAGGCCTAAGACCAACAGGCAGCCCTCGTGTCGTGAGGTGCCGGAGCCTTTCTAGGCACCCACCAAGGGATTCTTTCATTTTAGTAGGGAGTCACTCCGCTTACCTGTGCAGCAAAGCGGTTGGACCCACATTTCTGTGACATCGCGTTCTGAATAGTCCATGGCTGCCTCTTCTGTCTGGCTGGTGAAATGGGGCCTGTCCCCTGTTTCCCTAAAATTTTCCGAATCTTACCTAATAATCACTGCTCGCTGCATGAAAAGGTAGTAGGATGCAAGGGTGTCCAATTCCATCCTCAGCTTCCCAAAGGGACTTTGAGCTGGGGCTAGAAAATCAGGACCTCCCCGCAATTCACACCTGCAAGGAAGAACACTGTGCTTAGTTTCTAGAAGAACGGACTTGTGTTCCGTGTCTATTCCCAGAGCTCCAGGCCCTACAGTAGGCGCTGGGATAGAGTGGGCCAGGTGGGCAGTGTTCCTGCCTTCGTGGGCTCAGGTCTGCTGGGGTGAAGAGTGGGGGAGGCACGGCCGAGAGGTTCTGGAGAGCTTCTGCTGCGGGGGGGCAGGGCAGCAGGCAGCGCCGGCCTGGATGAGGCCGGGTTGGACAAGCAAAATACTAGAGCAGATCTGTTTGCTGATGTGCACGAGATGCCAGCCAGAAAAACTGTGGAGGAGGAGAGAAGGGTGGCCACAGACGGAGGGCCTGGCGGCAGAGGAGGGGCATGGACGCCGCTGCACTGGGCAGGCAGGTGGACACAGGGCAGGATGACGATGCAGGTGGGTTTCCCCACTCGAGGGGAAGAGAACAGGACTCCTGCCAGGAGGTGCAAGGCCGGAGCCCAGGGTCCCTCGAGGGGTGGAGTCTGGAGTCAGAGCCCCCTGTGTGCACAGGGAGGCCGGGCAGAGGGGGAGGAGAGAACCAGCTGCAATCAGGGGTGCGCTTGGCAGTTAGACCAGCCCAGACCTGCACTGCCACCTGGGCTGTGCAGTCTCCTCACCTCCGCAGCCCGGGTTCCACACCTGCGTGTCCAGGTACGTTTCTCAGACGGTGCTATGAGGACGAGTGGACAGCGCAGCCCTTGGAACACAACCAGTCAATAGTAATTACTCAATAATAAGTGGGGGCCAGGAGCCATGGCTTGTGCCTGCAGTCCCAGCTGCTCGGGAAGCTGAGACAGGAGGATCTCTTGAGGCCAGGAGTTTGAGACCAGACTAGACCCCACCTCTACAAAAATAACAATAATAATAAGTGGGTATTTACCTTTTCTTGCCCAAAGCCTGACACCATCCAATAAATGTTGAAATGGGCACTTTTGTGTCTTAACTTTTCTGAGTTTTGTCCATAATCTTATGAAGAAAAAGTTGGTAACTTTGTCAGAGCACAACCAACACAACCCCAATAATGAAGTGTCTCAGCATTTCCTCTTTTCTGCTTTGGTCTGAAGGTGTATCATTTAGGAATGCCTATAGCTGTAAGTAACAGAAAGCCCTACTACAATGGCTCAAATAAATGGAAGTTACTTATGCCATGCAACAAGAAATGTGAGGTGGTTGGTCCCAGCTGGCACAGTGGCTCCCTGTGATGTGACCAAGGACCGGTCTCTTTCTTTCCAATCCACCATTCTTGCTTTTTTCTTTTTTCTTTTTTCTTTTTTTTTTTTTTGCCTCATAGTGTCAAAATGGCCACTGCCTCTCCATACATCAGGTCTGCATTCCAGGCAGGAAGAGGGAAGTGGCAAAGTCTTTTACCCACTGAGGCTTCTCATTAATGTTCAGAGAGGGAAGACCGCCCCAGCAGACTTTTCCTAACATTGTATTTCATTGGCCAGAACTGGGCTACACAGGCAGCCTTAGACGATCCCTAACCTAGGAAAATATAAGATTATCATGACTGGTTTAAACCAACCACACACTCTCTGCTCCCTGACAAACCCCAGTCGGTGAGTAGGTGGAAGAGATGAACCAGGGCAAGGGGAGGCAGGACACAAAATGGGCCACCGTGGCTGCCATGCGTGACTTCTCTGCTGTCACTGTCCTTCTCTCCCCCTGCAGAGGACGCTGGTGGAGGCGGCAGTGGAGAGCGTCTACGTGACCAGCACCGGCATCAGCCGCCTCGTGCAGACGTACAACCAGCGAATAGGGAAGATCGTGCAGGACCACAGGGAGAGAAAACTGCAGCACCTGAAGGCCCTGCAGGGTACGGCTCCCCCGTGGGGACCCCCAGAAGGGACGGTCCAGGCTTGTAGTTTGGGGCAGGATGGGGCGTCAAGTGCTTCAAATTTTATTTGGGGGAATTTAATTTTTTAATGCTTTTATGTATTTATTCATCCCCTGCTTTGTCCCAAACGGCTTTTCAAAAGGCCTTAAAGAAACACATGCACAGGGACACACGGTGCAATAGGGTGTTTCGTAAGTGGGTAGGTCCGCGCAAGGACAGGTAGGCGACAGAGTCGGGGAGGGTCGTCATCTAGGACACGCACCCGCAGATCCCACTCAGATGGGAAGCGAGTTTGTCTCCAGGCTCCCTGGTAGCCAAGGAGATGGAAACGTGCTTGATTAAAGCCACTGCAGTGACCATGAACAAGAGCAGGCCGTGGCCCTGAGATGGTCCTGAGACCCCAAGAATTTTCTCCCAAGGGCTCTTGTAAAAGGAACCAGGGGTGATGGAAAGGACATTATCCCCAATTCCAGTAATAACATACAAATTATAACATTCGAAAGCCATTTCTTGAAGGCTACTTCTGGTAGCATCCTCCCTGCATCCGGAGCTTCCCAACAGGGGGGCTTCCGCATTCCCCCACGAGCTCTGCCTGGTTCGTCCCAGGACAGAGGTAGCAATCGATCCCCGGAGGAATGGGGGTCGTGGTTAGGGTGCAGGGCCGGGGCTGCCTTCCCCGAGTGCTGTTCCTCAGCTGAGCTCAGCTGCCACCTTTGTCTTCCCCGTGTCCTGGGGAATTAGAGGCCTAGATTCCAGTAAAATCTGGGCACATGCCCAGGAATGTGCCGATGACTACAGATTCTTCATGGTTTTCCGAAGCAAAGTTGGGCTTGTTTAGCAGGAAAGAGACATGATTGCTTGCCACTGCAGAACATTCCAGATCCAGGGGTGTCACTTCCCCTCACTAGGCCTCCGTTTCCCCATCTGTGGGACCAGGGTTGGACTCGCCCACACATCTCAGCCCTTATTTCTTGCTTCCCTGACACCCCAACTGTAATGTGGGGATTCCACAGTAAATGCATTGAAACAATGTAGCTGAGCTTAACCACGTGAACTCCTTTGTCTTCATTCAGTGAGCTGTTCTGTTTAAGAGTTACAGTGTTCTAGCAGTGAGGTCACCCAGGTCTGGTCTCTCTGTAGGTGCTAGCAAGTTCGGGGCCAGCCAGGCAGTGGCCGCTGTGCGTCTCACAGCTAGCTGGGTGTCACGGGCCTCCTGGCAGGGCTCCCTGGACCTGCCGGCCGGTGAGTTGGCTTATCCAGCTGAGCGGTGTCTTGAAGAGGGCAGTCCTGCGGTTCACTGTCCAGCCAGGACCTCTCGAGAGTGAAGGGTACTGTTAATAACTCTCCCGGGCAGATGGCATGAACCGAGCCTGTCCCGGGTAACCCAGGACACCTTGTCACTTCACGTTTACTTCTAAAGACCACGAGCACCTAAATCTGCAAACAGGACAGAGCTCCAAGAAGTGGGGCGTGACTTCAGAGGCCCGACTGCCCAGACCCGCGGCGGCATTCGTTAGGCGCTGGCATTCAGAAGGCTCGCTGCACTCTGGAGAGTCGCTTCTCCTGTTCGCTGCGGCTTTTCCAGCTCTGCGTGGTGCCTCAGTGTGGAGTCTTTCCCGTCTGCCTCCCTTTGTCCTCTGCTCATGAGAAAGCAGGGGAGGGAGCAGAGGGACAGAGGGCAACGGGACAGTTTCCTCCTGCCACGCATGATCTGTTCCCACACACACCACACCCTTCCCCGCGCTGGTGTCGTGGCACATCCTTCGAGAGCAGGTGTGTCCTGCTCTCCCCAAAGCCCAGCCCCTGTCCCAGACCCACCACAGTGCACCCCCCAGACAACCCCTTGACTGTCGCGTGTTCCGTGGCCTAGGTGAGAGGGTAGAAAATCACAAGCTGCGGAAACAGCAAGAGCACGGCGGCCCTTCGTCGGGGAGCAGGCTGGCAGGTGGAACTCTCGGGGCCTCCCAGGCTGTCCACCAGAGGTGAGGTCTGCACCTTGGTCTCGGGGGTCCCCCTTGTAGGGGTCATTCTCTGCCACTTCGTATAGCGCGTCTCCCTGTGACACACTGGCACGTGACACTGCGCACGTGTGCCCATTAACATGGCCGTCGTCCGCTCCCCCGCGCAGCGCAGAAGCCAGCAGCCTTGGTCCTGCCCGTGGTCTACACGCAGCACCTGCGATAGCTCCTGGCGCAGGTCAGCCAGCAGGTACAGGCGTGACGGTGGCTTCCTTACAGCCCGGACACGCACCTCCCCTCTCACCCACACCTCGGTGTCGCAGAAGCAGACCCCGAGACGGGGATTTGGGTGCGGGCTGTTCCCCTGGGCGGTGACTCCAGGAAGCAGGCTGAGGAACAGGGACGTGCAGGGAGGATGGGCGTTTTCTGCAACAGCAACCGTCACAGTGACCACAACCTGGGCAGCCCACGCCACACACAGACTGATTGTCTTGCAGTGTGGGAGGCCAGAAGTCGGGGTTGGCACTTCCGGTTTCTCTGGGTCTCACAGGCCCAGATCAAGGCGTTGAGCAGCCGGGCTGTCCTCCAGCCAGCTGGGAAGAATCTGCTTTGAGCACGTGCAGGTCGCTGGGGACGGAGGTCCTGGTTTCCTCAGCGGCATCCCCTAGCCACAGGCCACCCCACCTCCCTCTCTGTCCTTGCGTGTGACCCCTCAGCAAGAACAGCGACAGGGTCGAGTCCTGCTCACGCGTGGACTGTCCTTCTGCACCCCACTTGCTCTGCCCCCCCAGGGCCACCCGGTCACCAGGCTGCTCTCCAGACCTCAAGGGCTGTATCCTTAGTCACATCTGCCATGTCTCGTTTGCCACGTGACGTAGAGTCCTCCTAGGTTCCAGGGACTCGGGCGTGGACATCTTTGGGGGTCATGGTGTGGCCCGTGGCAACGGGAGAAAACCCGGCCGGCCCCGTGGTAAGGACGGTTTCCACGGGGCCCTGCTGAGGACTGTGCAGAGCACACAGCTCCCTGCTGCGTCCTCAAGGGGCCGGGAAGACAGGACGTTTGCGGCCCCCCTTCCGCACTGGCAGCAGGTCTGTCCGGGAGGTGTCCTGGCGCCCAGCGAGCCAGGCACACCCCTCCTGTGGCCAGAGAAAGCCCTAAGGTGTAGGCACAGGTGCTTGGCGTAGGAAGCCGTTGGCATGTGCAGGAGCTGTCCGTGCACGTGCAGGTGACCCCCGGGGGGCTGAGAGTTTGTGGGCACAGCACCAACATGCCCTCGTAAGCACTTATTCTTTGCTTGGCCTTGAACTGGGGACCAGGGGCAGTTCCTGCCACTCGGGAGCTCAAGCCTGGACAGGGAGACACAGGCAGAGAGAACGCACTGAGTGGGAGCAGGCGCGGCGCCGGGGGAGAGGCGCCCCCGCTGCAAGGAAGGAGGAGCCCCGCCACACGCAGCAAAGTCAACTCCAGCCCTCATCTGGACGCTCGTGCAGGAAACAAGAAGCGCAGTGTCCCCTGGGTCAGACCGATGCCAGCATCCCCCCAGCCCCTCCTGAGTCCTCCGACTGGCCACTCACAGCAGCTGGCAAATGCCCTGCTCTCGGGTTTCGAGGACTGAACTCGCCCTGACTTTCTGTGCCTCTGGCGAATGATGGGCCTGGCAGTCCTCAGATCCGGGACACAGGAGCACACTTGGCTTCCCGCTGAGCTTGCAGACTCTGGGTCCCACAGCTTCAGACTCCTCAAAGATGGAGCCCGGGAATCTGACTTTTTAACCCTCGTGCTCCCCACCAAGGGATTCTACGGACGTGGTCCAAGGACTTCCCTCTGAGCCAGGTGATCCCAGAGGAGGGCCTCAGCAGCCACCCGGCCTGCCCTGGTTTACGGAAGAAGAAAGCAAAGCCCGTGGCGAGGGGGGCATGACCCGTCTCGTGTGACGCAGGGGCTGGTGCACGGCTGTGGATGCCCTCCCCTCCCTCGTCTCTGTGAACTCACAGGTGGTTTCCAGTGAAACTCGGCCTCCTTGAGGGTGTGGGAGAGGCTACCACGGAGTGCTCACTTCAGCCGTGTCAATCGAATGAGTTACGTGTTCAGCATCTATCCCCTTGCCAGCTCAAAGCAGAGCCCCATGAGGGCAGGGACTGCGAGTCTCTTACACCTGTGTCTCAAACCCAGCACAGAACCTGGCAGGCCAGAGACACTTTAATGAATCAATGGGTGGATGAAGGGATGATGGGGTCTTGTAGGATGAATAGGAGTTCTCCAGACGAAGACAAAGAAGAGGGGAAAGGCATTACTGCAGACAGCAGGAAGCAAAGCAAGGTGGCATTGTTGTGCCTCTGGGTACACCACTTGCACGGCTGCCTATGGATGCTAAAGGTGACTTCTGCCTTCAGGTGTAGAAATTCAGCCCCTTTCAGAGAATCCACCCTAAAAGATTGAAAGAAGGCAGGGCAATGGTGGGAACAGGGTGGCTGGATTTGAATGTTCCTGTTTGCCAAGGGCCGGAGAAGACTCAGCTGAGGACGTGAAGTATCCAAAGAGGGAGGTGGCAGCTCCCGGGGTCAGGGACCCGCCTGGCCTCTGCCCCAGCTCCAGTTGCTGCATCCGAGGAAGTGTCCTGTTTTACAAGGGAGGGGCTGGGGTGCTTCTGAAATTTAAAATCAGGGACGGGTGGCTGGCAGGCCTCTGGTCCTTTTAGGGGAATATTCCTCCCTCGGGGGTAAGATTGCTTTCTCGGGAAAACATGCCACTTTCTGCTCAGCCTCTTTGCACCCGCATGTCCTCAGGGTGGCCCCACCTGTGGGCTTCTCCTTCCCCTTCCCTTTCCTGCTCTGTCCTGCCTGTGCCACCGAACCACTCCAAAGATCGCGTGAAAAATGTACGTGCAGGATTCCTCACACTGCCAAGCATCAAGCAAGGGGTGTCCACTTCCATGATGAGCCGGCCTGCCGGTGGGGCCTCGCGCCGTGGCTGCAGCGTGTGTGGCCCCAGCGAGTGGTGCCCGCTGGCCAGGCTCCTCCCCGGCTCCGAGTGTCCAAGGACGTCTCATAGCCACTAACTGCCTCAGCTCAGCAGGCTTTTCAGGAAGGTTTGTGCTAGGACCGGTGGCCCTGCCGTCCTGAGCAGTGTCAATGGCCTTCATCCCTTCCGTAGGATGCTGTCGCAGCAAAAGCGGTTCCTGGCCGAGTTCCCTGCGCACCAGCAGATGCGCCTGGACGCCCGGAAGCAGCAGGCGAGAGCTATGGAACTTCTGGAAACCCAGCTCGAGACCCAGCTGCAGGTACCAGTCATGTAACCGGGGCTCTGAAAGGCAGTGGCTTAAAGAGGAGTAGAAATGGCAAAAGGCCAACCCCATGCCACAGGTCAGCCACGGGGCGATGTGAGGGGACTCCCTCCACCCCGCGCCTTCCACTGTGGTAATGCCTTGGCCTCGCCGTGGGACCGTGGGCTCCTGGAAGGCAGGCAGGGCTGTGTCACCTCCCCAAGTGGCTGCAGCGCCCCTCACAAGCCAATCAGCCCACGTCTGCTGGCCCAACAGAGAAATGAGCCTTTCCCTGTGTGCACATGGCCACCAGGAAGCTTCTCAGGGTCAGGCTAACGTCTGTGTCACCCAGGCAGTGCTGGTGGTCACTGAGATTTGCACTTATCTGAAACATACAGCATGCTCAGCTCTCTTGCTATAAAGTGGATATTTCATCACAGAAAAATCTCCTTAGTGTGGGATTATAAAGTCCAGCAATAAAGCAAAGTGGCCACCTACATATAAACACTTAAATATTCCAGAATGGAAGCACTTAATGGTGTGTCCCCACCAGGCAGTAGTAACTGTGACAGTAAGAATGACAGCAATGGGCCGTGCGGTGGCTCACGCCTGTAATCCCAGCACTCTGGGAGGCTGAGGTGGGAGGATTGCTTGAGCTCAGGAGTCCGAGACCAGCCTGAGCAAGAGTGAGGTCTCTACTAAAAATAGAAAAATTAGCCGCGCGTGGTGGCTCCTGTAGTCCCAGCTACTCGGGAGGCTGAGGCGGGAGGATTGCTTGAGCCCAGGAGTTGGAGGTTGCTGTGAGCTACAGTGACGCCACTGCACTCCACCTGGGGCTACAGAGGGAGACTCTGCCTTAAAAAAGAAAGAATGACAGCAATGGTTGTTGGTGTCTATTTATTGAGGGTCTGTCGTAGAAGCTGCTGAGCTGAGAGCTGGACACACACTATCTATTGTCGTCCTCCAGCACCTGAGGAGGTGGTCACTGTTATTGTCCCAGTTACGGATGGGGAAACTGAGGCTCGCAGAGGTTAGATTGCCATCCAGGGTCACGCAGGTAATAAGTCATGGATTCAGGTCTGCCTGGTTAAACTCCTGTGTTGGCAGGTGACAGCGCAGACTGTGGAGTCAGGCATAAGGGGGTTAGATCCTGTTCTGCTGCCACCGCCACGGCAGGTCACTGAGGCCATCTCACCTCAGTGTTCTCATCTGTACAGTGGGGGTCGCAGGCATGAGGCGACAGTTATCTGGCAGGAGCTGGCGAGTGGTAGCTCCCTGCCTTGCAGGTGCCTCCTCCCTGCTCCTAAGTCTCTGGGGGGCGTCTGAGAAAATTCTCCTCCACGTCTGGGGCAGCGTCCTGTCAGCCTCAAGGGTGTCAACCCCATTCTGCAAAGGGGCGTTTGGGGAGGTGGAGGAAGGCAGGGGAGGCCCCACTGATCTCCGTTTGCATTTCAGGAAGCTGAGCAGAACTTTATCTCTGAGCTGGCGGCGCTGGCCCGGGTGCCCCTTGCTGAGAGCAAACTGTTCCCCAGTAAGCGCGGGCTGCCGGGTGAGTCATAGACGGCGTTGCGCTAGAGCAGGAGGCACTCGGGGCTGTGAAATAGGAGTCTAGTCCCACTTCCACCATTAACTAGCTGTGTGGCCTCAGGCTTTGCACCTAACCTCTCTGGGCTTTCCTGCCCTTGGCTGTAAATGATCAGGCTCACCACAGGGCCCTTGCTCTCTGGCATTTGATGATTCTGGTTCCTGGGTCTGCCGCTCCCCAGCTGTGTCTCTTCTCTGACTCTGTTTCCCCATCTGTGAAGTGGAGATACTAAGCTCTCCTCCCCTTGCCAGCAGCAACTCCAGTGATGTCCCAGGATGTCCTAACCTGGCGACGGGAGAGTGACTCCGAAGGTAGCATAGAAACACAGATCTATTGAAATGGAAGCCATGGTACCGGGGCTATGTTTCCAGCTTCTTACTGCTCTGTTAAGTCTTACAGTCAGTGGGGTGGAGAGGCAGCACGGTGCGAGCCCGGCAGACCTCAGTTCAAATCCCAGCTCTAGCTCCAACCAGCTGTGCTGGCTTTCGGGGCCTCAGTTTCCTTGTCAGCGAAATGGGAATAATAGCCTGGGGTACTGAGCACACATGTGGCAGTGCTCAGAGGGTGCTCAGAAATGTCAGGCTGGGTTGGAGTGAGGCCCAGAGAAGTTGTCAATCATCTGAAGTCACAGAATGCCTGGGATCATCTATCTTCTACAGAGAAGCTCCTAAGGACCAAAAGGAAGAAGCCCCTGTCCAGGGAGAGGGCCGACCCAGGGGTGCCCAACGATGAGGACCCTGCCTCCGGGGACCACACTTCAGGATCGCTCAGGTACAACGGGGCCCCAGCTTTTGCCTGTGAGTGAGTACGGTGCGTGCACGCAGCTGCCACGTGCCTGGTGTCAGGGCAGGAAGACCGGCCCTCCTCGCAGAGGCAGTGCTGCGAAGGCCCGAGAAATGGGCTACGTGGCGTGATTTGAGAACAGCAGGCCCTGCTGTTACGGGAAGTGCAGTCCCTGCCACTGTTGGGTCCCACTTGGCCAGGCAGGCTGTGACCTACCTCCATGCCCCATCAGGGTCCAGCCTGAATTGCTGTGCAGTGCCTTCTGTCACCAGGGCTGGCCACTGGGCACAGAGCTTCGGGATTTGCAATAGGGGATCTGTCCTGGGGCACCTCAGTCATGGCACCGGATGGTCGCCCACCCAACAACGGAAACTGGTTTTTTGCTTTTCTTAACAACTCATGTCATAGTGAAAATTGTTTTGATTGCCCACTGATGCCTTTTCATTTAATCCCGTTATGTGAGTCGTGCACGGAACAGGCACGGAACCAGAGTCCTAACCACTGCATTTCCTCCCTGTTTTAAGCAGCAAAAGGCTGAGTCAGCAGGAAAGTGACGTTGGTGACGGTGAGAACTCAAAGAAGACGCTCAAGAGAAGGAGCAATCTGTAGTTTCGGACCAGTGTGGGGGACCGAACCTGAAGCCCTGGGTCTGGACGCCCTGTGGACACCGCCTCCCCCGCCACAGCCGTGAGAGACCGAAGAGGGAGGGCTCGTGGGTCTCTGCTCGGCCTCACTGCCCCGTCGTGCCAGGGGTGGGCAAGGAAGCTGGAAGGCATGGCGGGGTACGGCAGGCCCCGTGGCCCGAGAACAGTGGGAGCCGGCGTTGGAGACGCGGTGTCGGAGATGCGGGTGCGAGTTTGCGTCTCGTTTGGCTCTGAGCCCTGGCTCGGGTCCTCAAGGGTCTCAGTCTTCCGCGGAGCTGCCCCCTTCCCCGGCTCTCCTCCCCCCCGTGCCCCAGCCCCAGCCCCTGGTCCGGATGCCTCCGAGCCTGCCTTCCCTGAGCTCGAGGTGCTCTCACTACGGCTTCGGGGCCCTCTGCCCCCAGCATCTCCGAGAAGTGCTGCCAGGGAGGGGCCTCTCGCAGCGCAGGTGTTTCTGATCTGAGGCCTTCGTCTCTGCCACCTCCAGCGCCCCATCCTCTCCCTCCCACGCACCCTGGCCGTTGGCGGCCACAGCATTCTCGTCGGACCCGTTCCCGGCTTTGTGTTTCCCTGCCTGTTGGCGCAGCTGGCAGCTGAGGCCTGGTCACCATAGGGGCGTCTGATTCTGAGGGCCTGATGACCCTGACGAGGGAATCCCTGGCCCGGAGTCCTGTCCTGACCCACGGGAGCTGAGGAGCCACAGGTACATGGCGGCGCTGCGGCAGCGTCTTCTCTGGGAGGCACTTAGAGTGCGTGGAAGGGAGCCCGTGCCCGGCCACAGCGACACCTGGGGGTGGGTCCTTTGACTGGGCAGCAGCTCCTCCCTGGAGGAGTCATGTCCCTGGGGGCACCTGCTTCTCCTGATGGATGAGAGAACATCCAGAAGCTTCCAGACCAGCCACACATAATCCGCAGCCAGGAGAGGCCTTCCCCATCTGGAGAGAAAATTACTCTTTTCGTTGAAATCAGGGATTCTCAACTCCAGCACTGTGGACATTTGGGTGAGATAATTCTGTCGGAGGGAAGGACCTGTCCTGTGCATAACGGGATGTTTGGCAGCATCCCCACGAGATGCCGGCAGCATCCTCCACCAGTCACGGCAACCAAAAATGTCTCCAGACATTGCCCAGTGTCCTCGGGGGTGTCGCCTGCTGACCAGAGTCGAAGCCTGCCCCGGTCAAGTCTAGGTTGTGGGAGCCGATATGTCCACTAACTCCCAGAACGTAATGGGCCCTGTGGATTTTCTGGGCCATTTGTGAATTTTCATTTCTCAAAACCTGAATTGGACTCTCTCAGTGGAGGAGTGGCTCCTTCCTGGAAGAAGTAACCAAAACCCCGCTGGGGCATTCTTCCTTCCTGCTGCAGCGGAGGCGCCGTTTCCAAAGTTAACCAACAGCCCCCTCTTGTGGCTCAATAAAATACTTCCTCAGTCTGTGGAGTCTTGTAAGGAGCTGTGGCTTCCTCGGTGCCATATTCTCAGAGCCTGCTTTGCATAGAAATCACTTGTACCTTGTCACACGGGTGCTCTGTGCAGAGGCTCTGAGGCAGGTGGCTCCTGTGTGGGGATGCCCGTTTTGGTGATGTGTGCATGGTAAATGCAGACCCGCTGCAGCACGGGCATTGGCCCGTCACCCTGGGACTAGATCTCTGAAAGCATCCATTTAAAGATCTCAGGGCCCGACCCAAACTCTGCCCCTCTGAGGGGTGCCCCTGGCGGCTCCCCACTCCACAGTCCTGCAGCGTGACTCCCTGGCTGCTGCATAGATCATCATTTTGCTTTTAGGTGTGACTTCCTTAGCCCAGGGGAATATGCCACTTGCTGTGGGACCCTGCCCCAACCTCGCTGCCCAGCTGTTGTGCTGGGCGCAGTCTGGGGCTCAGAACTCCACGAGGAGGCCTGTGGACTGTGTGTGTGTTCATCGCATCACAAACCGACGCCCGTAACTCCCAGCAGGAGCGTGTCAGAGACTTACATGGCAGAGTCACCTCCCTGATTAAAGTGAACCGTGGTGATCTGGACGACACTGGATGCTCAGCTGTGCCCAGGCACAGGCTTGGGGACACCCTGACGCTGATGGGGGCTTGAAGGACAGAGGGGCTGAGCCGTGAAGATCAGTGATGGGGACCCAGGACACATCCCAACCGCCTCCCCCACTTTGGTCACCATCCCCGGCTCTTATCGCGGGCTGTTATGGTGATGGCAGGCAGGGGTGGAACAGGAAGGGGGCCGTGAGGGATGACATAGCGAGGTTAATTAGGGAATAAATTCTTCTATGGAGACCCCGGGATGAAGCCAACAGGGTTTGCAGGGTCAGCGCACTCCCCCGGGACTCTCCGGTCTCATCCACTATTCCTCCGATGCCCGGGCCAGGGCGCAGCGGACCTCACTGCTCCCAACCTGCTCCCGCTCCACTAACCTGCCCATCACCTTTCTCAACACAAATGTGACGACGGCCGTGGGTGGCATTCCCTGGCTGCGAGGTGAGAAAGCAAACTCTTCCATGGACCGGGAGGCCCAGTGAGGCCTGGCCTGAGCTCACCCCCAGCCCAGCCAGTGCCCCTTCCCTTCACTCCGCACCTGGCCCGTGTCCTCTTGTGTCCTGCCTGCCTCAGGTCCTTGCCCGTGATGTGCATTCTGTCCGGAGCACCCCTGCACCCCCCAGCCCCCTGCCCTGTCGGCTCCGAGCCGCCCTTCACACTGACTCGGGACTCACATCTTCAGGGACCCCCCTGCCCCGGCCCCAGGCCAGATAAGACCCCCTTAGACTCAGCGCTGTGTGCTTTGCTGCAGGGCCGGGCGGGCCGGGCTAGGGGTACGTAACATTCCTTTATTTCTTGTCCAAGCCCAGAACCATACACAGAAGTGTACAGTGGGACCCACAAAAACATATCCCACGAAACCAAATTCGACTAACCCTTACCCAGGTCCCCCAAATGCCCCAGGCCTCCCCAGTGTCACCTGCTCTGCAGGGACATCAGAGGAAAAGGGAACAGTGGTCTTAACTGATTGCAGCTAAAACCTCTGACACAGTATCGTGTACTGTATAGAACCGTCTTGGTGAACACCGTGGTAAGCGCACTTCGGGGCCTGGTGGGGTCTGTGCAGGATGAGCCCCAAGCTCTGTTAACCTCACAGTAAGGCAGCTGCAGGGCACAGGGCAGGCGCTCCCTCTGAAGGATCCCTGGAAAGGAACCGACAAAAGGCAGATCAAGAGGAGAAAAAGGCATAAAATTCATTCAACATGCATAGCACCGGGAAGTAGGGTGTGATGACCAATAAACAACATGGTCCCGATGCTCCTGTGCCTTCTTTCTGGGGGGAGGCACATGTGGCAATTTTGAGGGGTAGCAAGTGATCTTCAGGGCAGAGAGTGGGCCAGGAGGCAGATGGCCGTGAATGACTCTCTCTGAAAACTGAACCCTCCCGATGGTTTGGGATGAAGTTCACCTGGACCCCACGTGCTGTATGATGTCCAAACTCCTGTGATTTGAGCTTTAATCTCTGGTTAGTGGAATTTCCGGGAAAGGATGGAAGGCAACTGTGTTCCTCTCCAGGGGTCTGGTTTCCAGATAGATACGGGAGCTTCAACGACAGCCCCCTCCTGTGCCTCCGGAGGGACGGAGGGCTGAGAGACAGGAGGGGTTCAGAGGGGCCAGCATGGCCATGCGCCATACTTTGGGGGATTGTTTCTGATCCCCAACACAGCATCTGAGGCAAAGTGTTTCCTGAGGCCAGCCATCTCCTCAGGGAAAGGAAAGGGCTCCTTCTTCCCAGACTGACTCTTTCCTGGGGAAAAATGAGAGAGGGGTGCTGGGGTCCCCCACACTTCTCCCCCAGAGAGTGGAAACCCTGCCTCTGCGGAGACATGCGTGTTGGGAGATAGCATTCTCTATTCTCCCCTGGAGGGCACTTGGCATTGTGCAGTTCGGCACTTCGGGTAATAATCTGATTAGTATCTGCCTGTGCTCCGGGATGCACACCCATCGCATTCCCCTCGACCGGCCGAGCGGCGTCCGCCATGTGATAGGCGTTCACAGTCACGCGGAGAGAGGAATAGAGGGAGGGAGGAAGGCTGTGTAATACTCTTCCTCCTGTGACTTATAGATTGGGCTGCATTCAGAATTACCCGGGTACACATTAAAAACAGATTCTCAGGCCTCTCCCAGAGATCCTGAGTTAGCAGGTTAGGCAGGAAACCCAGGAACCTATTTTCCCCCACTGGGCCCCCGCTGGTGGGGTACGCACATCCCGGTGCACTGCCGCCCTCCCCAGTGGCCTGTGGTCTGGTGGCTGTACTTTGCGGTCAGCTGCTTGTCCATCTTGTTCTGAATGTGGTGGCCGCAACAAGCACCTCTCCGGTCCCGGCGGCAAGGGGCAAAGATGACTGGCCTCCCCAGCTGCTGCCTCCACGACCCTTCCCTGCGTTGGCGCGGAGGTAGGCTCCCCGCCGCTCAGCCAGGACCGAGGGGCCGGATACGGAGGCAGGTCTGCGCCTGTGAGACGCGGCTCCTCTGAAAGACACGGGGGCTCGAGGACGCTTGGCTCACCCTGCTGAAACCATCTGAAGGCATCAGAGGCCTGCCGCCTCCCTCCTTCCTGGCGCTCAGATCTGCATGACAACCTGCCCACTGTTGCTGCCCCGGCGCCCCAGGCGTTTCCCCCAGTAAGTGTCTTGCTCATGTCTCACCCTGCCTAGTGACTGCGCCTCAGAGGACCTGAACTAAGGCACCGGCCAGCTCAGGCTTGGAAGCCCTTCAGCCTCCTAAGAACTCTGGGCCCAGGCAGTTCTAGAGCCCTGGCCCTGCCCGCGCTCTTGCTCTCTCGCAGCCTCAGGCTGCCTCCCTCCCAGAGGTGAGCAGAGGCAGGCGAGTTGTGGGAGAGCGGGGGGCCTCAGAAGGATCCCCGCACCGGGCTCTCGCCCACATGGGTACACTCCCACGCTAAGCTGGGAGAACGATGGCTCTTCGAGAAAGCAGGTGAACGCTGGGAAGCGGAGCGTCTGTCCCTGTTTGCTGTGAAACAGGAACCATGGCGGTCGCGGGCGTCACACTTACCTCCAAATGCAGTAGCCTGGACAAAGGCCGGTGGAGGTCACAGTGGCCTTCCTGCTCCAGGGTTGGGGGCTATGGTCACTGCAAACTGCCCACCCCTCCACAATCCAGGCATCAACAGGATCCCAAGCTACCCGTTGGAATTTCACTGCTCGCTGGTAGGGTAAGAGTTTGCAGTCCACAACCAGGAATAATGAACAGGCTGCCTGAGGTTTTTGATGGGATTCCCAGAAAATCTCCAGCGGGCCCTGGAGACCTGGCACAGCCATGCCATGATTTTCCTCCTGGGAACAGGGCCGCCAGTGAGCGAGAGCTTTACTCCAGAGCCAGGTGGGCCCAGGCCCCAGTACCTCCTCCTGCAGCACCTCTGCAGGTCTGCACCAAGTGGAAAACAGACACTTCAGTTTGCTAGGAGTCCCTTTTGTTCAGGAATCCTTTTTTTGTACCCTTTCACTCCATAACTTGACTTAACTGGAGAGAAACTTTAGGCAGATGACATTGTAAATGTGCATCACCAAGCCCACGCTTTCCACATTGGAAAGAGAACAGAGAGGGTCCTTGTGCACTTCAGCAGAGGGGCTCGGCTGTGTCTTAGAGATTTGGCAGCAGGCTAGGGGCAGTAGCCTCCCGTGCAGTCTCTCTGTCCAAGGCTGCCAAACCAACTCTGTGGTCCAGAACATGCCAGGTAGTGCATGTGGCATCTGAAAATGGTTTGGGCTTTACATGGATGGGGGAAAAGGGTATGCAAAGGTCTTGCCCATTATGTCTCACTTGTTAAGAGTCAATAGGCAACCTGGTGCAGAAATGAGCGAGGTGACGTAGTGGGGCCAGAACCAGCCCTTCCTGGGACATCAGAGCCAACTGTCACGTTGTATGGACTCCACACTCACTGACTTCCTGCTGGTAGCTTCAGATTGGCTGAGATCAGCCTGATGTCCAGTATGGTACTATTGAAAGGTGGGTCCTTTAAGAAGTGATTGGGTCTTGCCGCCTTCATAAATGGAGCAATCTTTTCATGGGTTAACGGATTAATGGTTTATCATGGGAGAGGGACTGGTGGCTTTACAAGAAGATGAAGAGAGACCCAAGCTAGCACACTCAGCCCCCACACCGTGTCATGCCCTGTGCCACCTCG